CTCACTCACTCGCTCACCCACACAAACATATTTCCACATGCACATTGTGGGCAACAACACAAGTCGCAACCACCTCACCTATCAAACACACTACACTCCGGTTCGCTCGCCTCTCCAACTCAATCACCGAAACCCTTCATCAATCCACACTCATCCACACAAACACACGCTTCGTCTGCACGTCGGTCTACTACTCAGACACAATCAACCTCACAAATGTTGCATCAGCCACACCAATTCCAACAACACTTCGTCACCCGCATCTTCCCAACCACCCAACATTCCACATTTACTCAATGCATGCATACACATGCACACCATTCATTCACACCATGTCACTGATCATCATCATATCCATATGTGTGCACTACTCACGACGAACGACCAACACAACCGAGTCTGCCGTCAACAAACTCCAAATTCAATGCCTACATTTACTACTGCACACAAGCACATTCAATCGCTCACTCACTCACTCACTCACTGTCCCTATCCCTCTCCCTCTATCGGCATTCGACACACACGCATGTTGGTTGTCAGAACCACTTCAGCATCACCGGTGTATACAGTCTCCTCAGTGTTTCGCAAGCAAACACCAAGTGGATCAGTGCAGTGCCACACTACTTATCAACCATTCACTCCTTCACACTAGCGTGCATTCACCCACTAACTCACTGACTCACTCACTCACTCACTCACTCAATCAATCATTCAGATATTCAACCGATCAGTCTGTGTGTGGTGGTGTGTGTTCGTCTGACCACCGACCCGATGGACATTGGATCGGACTCGACCTAGTAGATGCATGCATCGGACGTGTAGTGGACGATCAGTGTGACGCGACATAATGGATGGGTGATAGTGGAGTGTGTGTGATATGATGACCATATTGGTGAGCGGTTGTACAGACGACGACTGCGTGGACCACAGCAACAACAAGTACACCGACCACTCGACTGCCTCACCACCACATGTGACGGGTTGTCGGCGGCCGTGTAGCCACAGACACGATGGCGATGTGCTTGTCGCTGGTGATTGATTCGACTCACTGTGATCAGGTGACCAACGACACAGAGTGACTTGTGACTACTGACCACACTGGTCGATGTGATCACCCATCCAGTGATGATGGATCAAAAGCGCACCAGCTCCGGCGAGGCGGATTCGAACCACCGACCTAAGGATCACTGCACCAATCTACAGTCCTCCGCTCTACCAACTGAGCTATCGCCGGACGTCCGCTCGCACACAGACTCATCGCTTCACACCTCAGTCACACTAGAACAACACGCGCTCGCGATCGCGCGCGCACACACACACACACACATTCATCACTCACAACCGCCCCACATCAAATCACACATTCAACACTTGTACACGCACAACCACCTACATGCAACAACACATCACAAATCGAATTTCGCAAACGCAATACAAGTCCATGCAAATCACTCAACACCAACTAAACTTGTCACATTCCAACCCAGACACCACAACACCTCATATCGCATAGCATCGCATCGCATCGCATCACAGCGCATCGCATTCTCACTGCATCACTCACTCTCTCACTCGAAACACCTCCATCCACACGCACACTGTAATGCATTGACAACGCGACAACTCACTCACTCACTCACTCACTCACTCGCTCACCCACACAAACATATTTCCACATGCACATTGTGGGCAACAACACAAGTCGCAACCACCTGACCTATCAAACACACTACACTCCGGTTCGCTCGCCTCTCCAACTCAATCACCGAAACCCTTCATCACTCCACACTCATCCACACAAACACACGCTTCGTCTGCACGTCGGTCTACTACTCAGACACAATCAACCTCACAAATGTTGCATCAGCCACACCAATTCCAACAACACTTCGTCACCCGCATCTTCCCAACCACCCAACAATCCACATTTACTCAATGCATGCATACACATGCACACCATTCATTCACACCATGTCACTGATCATCATCATATCCATATGTGTGCACTACTCACGACGAACGACCAACACAACCGAGTCTGCCGTCAACAAACTCCAAATTCAATGCCTACATTTACTACTGCACACAAGCACATTCAATCGCTCACTCACTCACTCACTCACTGTCCCTATCCCTCTCCCTCTATCGGCATTCGACACACACGCATGTTGGTTGTCAGAACCACTTCAGCATCACCGGTGTATACAGTCTCCTCAGTGTTTCGCAAGCAAACACCAAGTGGATCAGTGCAGTGCCACACTACTTATCAACCATTCACTCCTTCACACTAGCGTGCATTCACCCACTAACTCACTGACTCACTCACTCACTCACTCACTCACTCAATCAATCATTCAGATATTCAACCGATCAGTCTGTGTGTGGTGGTGTGTGTTCGTCTGACCACCGACCCGATGGACATTGGATCGGACTCGACCTAGTAGATGCATGCATCGGACGTGTAGTGGACGATCAGTGTGACGCGACCTGG